GCACATACTCCCAGGGACGACACATAGGGGGTGCACGCACACCCCGAGTGTGGTGGTGCACCCCCTACAAAAAGGCAATGGTGTCTGCAGGTGGTCGCCGACCCCTGGTTGTTGCTCGCCACCCTCCCTTCCCCACCCTGCTGCCAACAGCGCCAGCGGCATCTGCGGGAGCTCCCCCACTTACCGCCAGCACCATGCCCCCCCAGTTGTTCATGCATGCTTCCAACCCTTTGGTGCCATAATGCAGTAGCCAACTTTAGTTAGTAGAGCATTAAATATTTCGTACAGCTGTTTACACTGCGAAACAATTCCATGCATGCTTTCTGTGGAGCAGAGGCCTAGAAATAGTGCTTTAAGGCAGGGGTGGGCAAAACACGGCCCGCAGGCCACATCCAGCCCACAAGGCCATTCTATCCGGCCCATGGGGCCCCTAAAACATTTAGAAAATAAATATTTATCTGTCCTTGGTTCCTGTCAAGTGACAGGAGCAGCAGGACCCAGGGGAAGCTCCAGCAGGTTCCTGCAACAGCAGGGCCCCCCCCAGCCCCGCCCCCCCCCCAACTGGAAGCCCCAGCAGGGGCTTCTGGCCTGGGACCATGTGGCTGCACTGGTGCCAGAAACTCGGGTAAGGGGGGAGGGGAGAAAAAGGGGAGGACCCCAGGCAGGAAAGGAACCTGGGGAGAAGCAGCCCCTCCCCCGCCCCATGGCCAGCGCTCCCTGCTGCAGCCACTTGCAGCTGTCATGAACAGGTACAGGCAGCCCCAGGCAGGCTGTAAGCAGCTGCAGCACTGGGCGCCGGCCAAGGGGTGGGCAAGGGGCCTCTTTGCCCCCCTCCCCCAACCCCCATGCTCAGCATCAGCTTGTAACCCACCCCCAATGCCAGCCTGGGCCCTGTGCCACTTCCGGGCCCACACGTAGGGACTGCGTGCGGTGACAGCAGCTGCTTGGCGTGGAAGAAAGCGGCCTCACCATGCCGGGCAGCATTTGCCACCATCGCCCCTGTGCTGCCAAGTATGCGAGCTCCGGGTGGGCAGCAGCAGCAAACACTGCCTGGCGCGGCTAGCAGAGGGGCCACTTTCCTCCGCGCCAAGCAGCT